CAATGTAGTGTGCTTCTCATAGATTTTAATTTTTTCACATAGTTTTTTTCGAGGCCATATATTTCAATTGGCCATTTGAATAATGAATTTGTTGTTGTGTAATTCCTTTTTCATTTTTTTCTCCTTAAATCTTTAAGGAGCATTGAAAAATAGAAGAGAAATATTGTGATTTCTCAATGTTATCGAAGTTATTTTTCTCGAATACTCGGATATATGTATTATATCATAAGTTATCGTAAGTACTTGTACTGTACTGATTTATTTACTTATACAGTTGATGTTTCTTTTATTGTTGTTTTTAGTTTGGCCTCTCTCGATAAAATTCCTAGATCCGTCACTGAGTACAGACATCAAATTACTATCAAATTTCACGGATAAATAAAGAATAGACAAGGGGAAAAAAGTTTAAACAGTAAATAGAGTGCCAATTTGTATAAATAAGATAAACCTTTTTCATTCACGTGACTACGTGAGTGATGCTGATCCATAGATAGTAACGTCACTAATTAACTATAGCACCCGCTTGTGTAGTTTCTAACGGCAGCCGCTTATTAAATTCAATAACTGTAGAACGAAACCTTGACTAACAACTTGTAATGCTGATATTAGAAGCATTATCATTATATTTTAAATAAATGTATATATTTTGTATATATTTTATATTATAATATATAATATATTATAATATTATAAATAAAATTATGATGATATTTCATGTTATAATTATACATACATTTTTATTAATATCTTTATTTGATTAATATAATTCGGTGAGGAAGAAAAAGAATAAAACACAAAGTCACCTTATGCTTATCAGCTTATGCATGCATTGAGCGGGCCAGCCAGGGTGAATCACAAGGCAGAAGCAAACATAAAAGGGATCGATCAATTCATCACGGGCAGTCGGCACACTATATATCACTTGGTTATTTGTTTTAAATGAAAAGTATTAAGTGATGGGCGGTTTTGTCTATATATTATTTTGTAACAGCTGGTCTAATCGTTAGACGAACATAAATAAAAATATATATTTATACTATAAAATATTTATTTTTTTTAAATATAATTTTTTCAATAAAAATGTGCAAATTTATTTATGAAGATGATTTTGTGAAGGGTATATTTAGCAACACATGTACACTAATACATCTATGTTTATTTATTTATTTATTTATTTTTTGTCCTTTCCTTTTCTCTACCATCACACTTCATTATTAATAATGAAATAGTTATATAATCAAATAATAAATTTTATGGAGCAAGCAGATGATTCGTTTATAGAGTCATACATAATTAATTTGATGTGTTTATATTTGTCGAAAATGTATTTATTGTATAACATGTGTTAATATACACTATTTGTGCATAATTGTGGAGAATTTTATAAACCGTGCCATCCAATAACTCTATAGCTAAACAGGTAATTAAACATGGGTCTTAATTGCTTGAGTCCTCCTTTAGGCATTCCATCATATCTTATTTATGGATTCCAAATTTTCTCATTAATGCTCTCTCATAATTAATATTCTTTTAACATTAATACAGTCACTGGTAAATATCAATAGGTTTCCGTTCTTAATTGTTCATCATGTTCTTCTGTTCTTTCAACAATATAATATAAGATGCTTTAATTACTTAAAACTAATAATTAATGTATAAGAGATAAAAAAATAATAAGAGTCTGGAAAAAAATTATTATTAATGGAGAAATTCATTGGTTAATATCACTGTCTTCGTTCACAGTACTTTACGGACGACCAAAACAAAAATTACTTACCAATATAAATTTTAAGATAAGTTAATTATCAAACAATCCATCCGAAGTTAGCTAGTTAATGTTGAAAATATGAAAATTTATTCAAACTACTGATTCAGTATTATCCTATCCAAATACGTCAACCGATGCATATTTTTTGTTTGAGATGGGTTTGATTCTTTTCTAAGAAATGAGAGGGTAAGTAAGATTCGGGTAATAATTGATGAGGGTTAGTATGTATTTGATCATATTAATTTAGTTATTTTATATTAGGGTAATAATTGATGAGGGTTAGTATGTATTTGATCATATTAATTTAGTTATTTTATATTACGGTTTAATTAATTCGGTATTATATTTGCCCAAAAGTGACTCTCAAACCAGAAGGGGTCACGTCTATATGTAATGTGTGCCAACTACTCCCAATTATATGTACGGTTCATAATAAGATATTACAATACTGAGTTAAATGTTACAAATTGAATGTGGCCGATAACACGAGAATCTACGAATTGAAGTATTGAGATTTTATAATAGGAAGTGAAAACGAAAAAACAAAGTTTAACTTGAAAGTGGAAAGACAATAAGCAGAGTGTTGTTTTTTTGGTAAGACAAATACGTCCCATAATATGTTGGCGTGTTCAAGTGTCTCGTCCTCAAAGATACAATAACAAATCCTCATAAGCTGTAGCATTTCAATTTTCAAGCTCCGACGAACTTGAATGAAACTGAAAATTGAGCAGTATGTATATGTGTGATACTATAAGGATGCAAATAATATTGTGTATACTTCTACAACTTCTACCATGTCCTATTTATAGGACTTCTGACTCAGGTAGGAAATTACATCAGTCATCTACCACTTAAGACATGTAACAATTCACTTAAGGGTGTTCTAGCAAAAAATGGTCAGGAGTTAATCCTGTCGTTTTTTAGGTGTTAACACACCACTAATGCACCTGAAACAGTCATGTGGAGTCAACACATTGGGTTGGGTCAAAATTCGGATGCAAATCCAATTCGGTTTGAATTTTATTTTGGACTACAATTTTACAAATAAATTTGCAGTAAAGCGATTATAGAGGTTGGGCCCAAAGCCCGAGCCCAAGCAGAACCGACCGGAGGGTAGGCGTGCGCGCGTGTGTGGCGGTCTACCTAGGGTACCTGGCGGGGTTAACTCCATTAGATTCGGTCAATGTATTTTATTTATCTCGTGTTTTTATTTTTTATTTTTTTTACTTATATGGTGAATAGTTATGACGAGATACATTACTATTAAGACTATGAGATATAAAATTTACAAATAAATTATTTATTTTTATGTATATTTATCAAATAAAATAATATATATAATTTTAAAATATTTTAAATTAATTACCGTTCAACAACTGATTTGGTAAACAAACGGTGAATCGGCGACCCAGGATCACTTTGGGTCATTACCGATTCGATTCTCAAAACATTTGTTTTAACACAACACTAAGAGCATCTCCAATGATTTAATGCTCTTATAGAATAAATTTGACAAATGTCAATAAATTAAATGGATCGTGAGCCATGTAAGAAAATGTTAAGTTAATAACTATGAAATTAAAAAGTCTTTTCAATGCATTGTGTAGCCTAACTACAATATTATCTACCTACCAAATAATAAAAATTTTAAAAAAGAGAAACAAAATTAATTAAATAATTAACTAGATAGTTTGAAATTGGTAAGAATAATTCTCTCTATTTTCTTCACTGGTTAGCTAGAGTGCAGGGGGAATGCGAATAAACCACACTCTTTTATATATTATAGACATTAATTATATTCACATCATAATAATATTTGTGATCACATTATACATTGGAATGAAAAATTATGATAAGCCATTTCTCCCTCTTAAGCTTTCTCGAACTTCCAAGTTTGCCCTCTTTTTATAATGTACATTTGTGAAAGTTGATCACAACCCCCTTTCTTATCTATATATATATAATAAGAATTAACATTTTTAAAAAATAGTAAGCAAAAAAATAGGGAATATTAATTCCATTCCATTTTTGGTATGGTTTTTTAATTTTTTTTGAATAAAAAATCAAGTATCATTTAATGCTAGCATAAATCATTGGATTTGTTATATAAATGCATATTTAAATTTCAAACTGCAAACAAAACATGCCTAAATATATTTTGAATTTTTTAGGGGAAAAATTTAACAAACACGTTAAAGATTTCATATAATACATATATTTATATATATTATCTTAACATATAGGTTAATTAGTTTCATATCTAAACAATATATATTTAAACAATAGATAAACAAATGTAATAATTTGTCGTACAATACAGACAAATATCTAAACAATATATTTATATACAAATATAATAAACAATACAAACAATATATAAATAAATATAATAACTTGTCACGTGTATATTTCGTACAATACATATATTTATATATATATATATATATATATATATATTCTTAACATATAAGTTAATTAGTTTCATATCTAAACAATATATATTTTAGGAATTCAAAGATTCATAACATTACTGACGTCATGTATATTTATAATATATTGTCATGTACATTTTACTACAATTGGTAACTTATTTAAAATTATTTGAATAACTGGAGGTTGATTTGTAATTTGAATTTCAAATTCATTCAAACATTTAAAGGAAAATATCATAAGCAGATTTTTTTGATACATTTCATTTTATTTCAACTTACATATAATCACATTCCTACCAAACATTAAATTTGCTTATATCTTTTTGAAATAATTACATCAATAAATAATATTACTATACATTACATATTTATCATTATATAATATATTACTTCTACAAGTGTTATAAATAATAATGACATTATATGATAATAGATTTTTTGATAGATTAACAATTGAGTATTATGATGAACCAAAATATGTAAAATTATTATTATTTTATATTAAAAAATAAATATCTATATTAAAATATTATTTATAATAATATAAACGGGTCAGCATACTAATATATTGTGAAAGTAAAGTTTTAAAAAAAAGTTCTAAAGTACGAAAATCCCGTGCATAGTTTTTCCTAAACAGAGTAAAATATATGTAAGACCAAATTAATCATACTATGGACCAAAATTAAACCACCAAAATAAAATGGTAAATCCCGCTTATATATATATTGGCCACGATACACCAAAGTGAAACCACACTCACATCACAATTCTCACATCACAATTCACAACACAAAACAAAGATGTCTCCACCACTCAATAATTTCCCCTCAAACAAAAAAGATACCCCTTACTCCACCCCTACTTTCCGGTTTCCGGCGGCATCCCCTCGCCGGACGGCGTCGTTCTCGTCGGAATCATCCTTCGATTCCCTTTTCTCCTCCAACGACGACGAATCCTACCCTCCGTACAACCCTGGCACCCCTCTCAAGCTCAAAGGCATCCCGTTTTCTTGGGAACGAATCCCCGGAATCCCCAAATCCCGTCAACCGAAAAACGACAAGTTCAACAAATATTCCGGCCATCTCCTCCCTCCGCCGCCGGCCGGAAAATCATTCTGCCGCCCGGCCGATGGGTCTTTTCGCCGGGACCCATTTTTCACGGCGCTAGTCGAGTGCTCCAAGGATGACGATGGCCGTGGAGCGAATTTCGGCAATTTTAGCTCCAAGATTACGAGGACTTTAAGCGATAGGTTCGGGCTCGTGGGCAAGTACGCTTCGTGCAAGAGCACTTGCACGGTCTCGGACTCGATCATGTGTCAGTCAAGACCGGGCCCGCATTATCTCGTCTACCGTCTTTAGAGTCGAGTCGAGCTGAGCTCAAGATAGATATAATCTTCATCATGGACTAGCTACAACATCCATAGATAAGCTTTCATTAATTTACTTGTATATGTTGGATATTGTTGTTTGTCACTTGACAAAGAAAAAAAAATCTAAATGTGTTCACATTTCTAAATATTTATGTCTTTGCCTAATTATTCGGCTTTTAGATTTGTCTTTCTTTCTTTCTTTCTTTTTTTTTTTTCCTTTATGGGCTCCTTTTAATTTGTCCCGAGTGTTGAAGGAAGTGATCCGTGGGATGCATTTTGGACAAAGGGTCATGATGTTGTTGTAAATTAAATCTTTAGTTTAATTGTGCTTGGTTGTATTTTAATTAAAGTATAATATTTGAGTGTAAGGATATATATAGATGTTGCAAGAGTGTGATTGTCTAATTATTAGACAGTTAAAAAGAATAACTGCTAGTATAAGTTTTTTACTCACACCAAGGAAAAAAAATTCAGTGAGAGTATTTAATATTTATGTTTCATTAATTATTGGGGGAAATGGAATATTGGACCGCACATTGTGTCTTTTGTTTGGGACTGTTTGTGTATGTTTGTGAGCTAACTTTGTTGGGAAATAAGCAAAATCCTTTCTGGACATCATGTGATGTGTGTTCGGAAGTATGTGTAAAAGTTATAAGAGTTCCATGTGAATACAAGTGCAATCAGATTTTAATGTTGTTTTTTTTTTTGTTTATTATATGTTCATGCAATTTTCAATTAATTGAGGTACAAATTCTCATGTGGGCGATTTACTAATTGTGCCATTTATACCGTTTAAATAAATAAAAAAGAAAAAACATATGCACAGTAAAATATCATATTTATATTTATTTTGTGAGGATTGAGTCGTCTAACATCAATTCTACTATATTAAAAAAATAATTGTAAATGTGTTTTATTTATTTAAATCTATTGATATTAGTATTTTGACATATCATACTCAATATTAATATTCTATTAATATTGCTAATAGGAGAATATTATGGGCGGAGCAGGAGAAAATGAGAATAATCAGCAATTAAATTGGGACATTGAGTTAAATATAAATTAAATTAAATTTTATTTTTTATTGTTCTGTACTTGGGTAAAGTTCGTTACAGAATAATGTTGTTTCGCTACAAAACCGGTAGAATCAAAATTTTCCTTGTTAAGTGCCTCTTATAATGCTAACCAAGGGTAATATCGTGTTTGGGGAATTCCGAAGATTTCATCATAGCTACAGAACATGAATGAGGCTCCCTTCGTAGGAATGTAGACCATTATGATGCTACAAAAGAATACAAAAAGTTATAAGTGGAAGAGTTTGCGGCAATTTAAAATTAGAGTTTCGAGCATCAATTATTTCATTTCCTTTTCATTGAAAAAAAAAAATATATAGAAAAATTCTTTGTCTTTGTCTTTTTCTTTACTCTACTTTCTTAATTTTTTGGCAACTTTTTTGAGCTGAGCAATGATGAAAATTCCAAGTGGGCAGTTTGGCCTAGGAATGATGAAATATAATTAAGTGTCCACTAAAAATTCTTGATATTTGTTCTTTTTGCTATAATTTAAATGTTCTATTTGTGAATAACTTCCGAATTTTATATTCATAATATTACATAGAATTAATAAAAAAATAATAAATTAGTTTAACAGCCAATATTCTAGTAATTAACATATAAAAATCCTAAATTTCCTCTTTCATTTGAGGAATTTGGATTAAACTGGTTTTGTTTACGGAACCCCGGTGAGAGAAAAATAACAGTAGTAATTGGGCCTAAATTGGGTCGCTTAAGAACCAACTCGGTCCACTGTCCACGACCAGATACAACTTACTTTTAGGCCTAATTTTGTAGATCGGGTAGAAGGCTCTGATGCAGGTAGTCTCAAATATGTTTTCTGTCGGCCATTACGTGCCCTAGAATGTCTTGAAATCTAGTGTGGGTCAGTTGGGAGAGTCGAGACAGTTCCATAGAGAAAATTACCCCACACACTTCTACATTTGGCTAAAAGACGTATATACGTAGACAGCAACGTCATTTTAACGAGCCACAAGTTTTTATTACAGAATGACGAAATATATAAAATTCTTACACCAAAAGACGAACTATCCATCAGAATGGAAATAATTTTGCTGCAATCCTTCATGATTACAATAAAATAATGGAGCGAAAAATTTCTGGAACCACAAATAAACAAAATGAAAATCATTCATATACCATAACTATGAAAAATATCAAAAAAAAAGCACAAAAACATATGCAGAGAACACATAAGAAAACAAGAAAACCACAAAATAAACTAAAAAATTAAAAAAAAAAACACATATGAATATAATCCATACTCCATAGACATTGAAATATTCAGAACAAATATACAATATTCATACACAAAAGTAAACTACAAATAAACCCACAAATTGAAAACTAAATTATTTAAAATTGATAAATAAGCAACAAAATATCTTTTATGCAACCCAATCGGAACCAACGGCCACTCGAATAGCCCAGACATGCCCGATCTTTCACGCCACCGGCCAATACTGTTACCCGAATCCCTAGGGTCGAACGCAGCAGCGGCAGTGCGGCGCGGCGGTGCAAAGGGGCGACCAAATCCTAGAGAGATCCGATGGCAGATTCTGATTGAAGGCCTCTGGGAAAGCGGCCAAGATCTGCCTTGTTTGCAGCGATGCGGCTGTGGAAGATCTTCTCTGGCTTTGCTGGCTTGTTGGGGATCTGAGGATCTTGGATTTTATAAGAGAAATACTGAATGAAAATTTCATATTTTGTCTCTACGAATGAAGAATTGAAAGAGTGAAGGACTTAGAAAGGGAAATGAATAGTGAAATATGTCGTGCAAATGCGAATGAACACGAAGGTTCGTGGAAAGAGAAATAAGATTAGTTGGAATCGTGCGAGGGGTAATTATCTCTCTACATTTTATGTCTTATATTTATTTTTCTATTTGTCTATGTTGGATTACACAATTACCTTTTCAAAATTTTTTAGGTAAAAGTACAACAATACGCTAGTTATATTTTGTAAAGCTTTGTGGAAACAATAATTAATGGGTGTAAATTAAAGCAATAATCCTTCAAAATAATTACACACCCTTGTCAAACAAGAAAAATGCCACAAGTACATAATAAATGTACACATAACACTCACATGGAGTGGGTCCACTTAATTCTTTATTTTTGGTAGGACCCACTCAATGTGAATGTTATGTACACTTCTATGTACATTATTATGTATCTATAGCATTACTCGTCAAATAATAAGCCTCATCATATATTCTCAATCCTCTATAATCTTTTGAAATCCTTCTTGGGAGGGTGTGGTGATATTGCGGTGACTAGAGTCGAGTGAGTTAATTAGGTGCTCGATTGGATCAAATCATGTGTTGTTCCAACGGTGAATACACTGGTGACTGCAGTATGGTGAAATTAACACTATGGACTTGCACAATGTGTAAACACCTGATGGAGAAACTTTCATTATGTCCATCATGTCTTTAATAACAATTTCAAGAAAGTTGAGTGGTAATAATATTCGAGATTAACAGCAACGAAAGNTAACATCAACCGAAAAAATCAACTTTAGCCCCTGGCTATTCTTGTTTTGCACGGTCTGAAGATGACTCAGCTTCAGTTGCTGCAGGCTGCTTTATGCTGGCCTTTGCATCTGCCAGGAATTTAGCATCTGGCTCGTGTTTATCTGAGGGCTCTTTCATTGCCGAGTAAATGTAAAGCACTATAACCACATTGACTGACACGACTGCCAGAAGCCCACTCCACAAGGTCATGGACTCGGGAGACAATTTACTCGAACCTGTTCCAAATCAACATTTACCACTTCAATAGCTATTCTTTTTTTTCTTTTTTAAGCACCCGCTAACTTCAGTTCCATCTTCAGAAGTTCATATACCATCTCAACCACAGTAAGGTTGCTAGACCGTACTTTTTCAATAAATGTGCACTCTTTCAAAATGAAATGTCATACTTTAAAAAAACTACGTAAACAAAATATGACATTTCATAGCATAAATACGTATTTTCGTTAAAATAGTATGACGGGCCAGACCCGTCTAACCGTTATTTGTGTCTCAACAACTGTTAACACTTGTTCAATTCCATTCATCTTCAGNAAAAAAAAAAAAGTAACTTGTATCCAATATATTCATCCATTAATAAGGACTAGTAATCATATGCATAATGTATGGTAATGCAGACTCGCATAATAATAAGTTGCCATGGGAAAATTACCAGGGAACAAATTATGGTTGAATCCATAAATAATGGCAATAGGAGCCGCCCACATAAGCACAGATGCTATAAAGAACTTGCTCACAACCCCCATCATTGCTCCCTCCAATCTACGAAAACAGGGAGAAATTTACAAGGGATTAAATTCGTTGTTAGATGAGGGAAAAANTAAAAAAAAAAAAAAAAGACAAAAAAATAAATCCATTGCAGTGGAACAAAAGGGCCTTCAATTTTAAGAAGAAGGCTTGTGAATACAAGTCAAGCATCGAACATTAAAGCAATCTAAAGCAGATTTCGACACCTTGGAGCGAACAATATAGGCAACAGTTACACACTTTGGTGAAAGTTTGTAGGAGGTGGAAATGGTCGACACCTGAATTCAACATGATTTATCTGAAAAATTTAAACCCAATTTGCGAAAAGCACAAATTTTTTTGGGAAACAGTGAATTTACCAGTCGCTCTCGAGTGACAAATTTCAGATCTTAGGGCTGAGTATCACTTGAGATGGAACTCAAGGCTGGTGTTTCTCGCCCTATATCTCTTCGAAGCTGCTTATTTCTTGGAGTATGAAATACGATTTGACGAGACAAGGATCTATAGAGCAATTGAGTCGCCAAAACCTTGAAGCACAATCTATCTTCTATCGGAAGGGGCAAAATAAAATATGAGTTGCTGCAAATTCCCAGCAAGGACCATTGGATTTGGATACAATGGACTGTTAAAAATAGCTCAAATTGGTGTGGACCGTGGAGGGCATTTTTTTTTTTTTTTTCCTTCTAATAATTATACATAATTTAAAATTAAAATATTGTACTTTAAAGAAAAATTGATATTAACAAAAGTATTTTATGATATTTCATAATAAACGTGTTTTTTTAAATGTATGACGAATTAACTGGCCTAAAAATTAACACGGGAGAGCATCTGAGCCAAAAGGTAGGACCGGCTGTGAGGTCGTTTGGACAATCTAAGGACCTAAGTGTCGTATGGTAAGAGGTGACAAAATCCTTATATCTCGCTAAGAGCATCTCTAATGCATTCTTTTGAAAGACTAAAAAGTTATCCACATCATCTAGATAGAAAGTGTGTGAATAATTTATCCTCCAATGCATTAGATTATGGGTCCTTTCATGCTTATGAGTAAAAAATTAATGTTAACATTGTCAAGCTCACTTTCTAATTTCACACATTCTTTCTGACATGATAGACTCACCATTTTGATAATTATTTGACACAAATTTTGAGCTTATCATAAACTTGGAAAAATCCCACCCTTAGATTTATCCAAGAAAAAATTTGAGAATTTATTTGAATACAATAAAATTTTTTGATGAGTTACAACTAATTTTTTTTTTTAAAAAAATATCAATAATATTGTCCTGAAAAGTAAAATATTATGTTCATGATATTTGTTTGTTGAGTTCTTGCGATTTTAATATTTTGTGGTTTTATTTTGAACCGATTAAAAAAAATATTTATTGTATGATTATACATATTGTAACTGAGTAATTATTGAATAAATAATAATTTTATAAATTTGATGATATAAATAAAAATTAACTGAATCAACAAAAAATAACATCATACATATAATTATTGGAATTTGTGGTTTTTTTTTAATATACTCTTTTACTTTATTAATAAATGAATACATCCACATATACAAATTGTATGGTTGTTGAATGGATGCATTGGAATTAACAATTCAAGTGAAAGTCCTATTCTTTTAACATTCAGTTCATGTACATTAAAAATTAATCCATTGATTGACATGTGTTCCAATTTAATTAATGTTGAAAGTTGAGCATTGGAGATGCTCTAAGGAGTTTGAGATTTTATAGACTTGATAAGGTAGGAAAATATATAATGTTGGATCTCTTTCCGAACTAGGACTCTACTTGGGCAGTAATACACTCTAATATATAAAAGCTGATCAAGTTCTAATTTTTTTGTTTTTTGGCAAAAACAACACCCCAGAAGGGTAGGGGGTTAAGACCCCCCAATCTGTATATAAAATGGCCCTAAATGGGCTGAAAAATCACAAGTCTACAAGTCCAATGTCTGATATACATAAAGCCAAACGAAAAACAAAAAACAAAAGCAAGAAAAGATACAAGAAAAGGCTGATACCAGCAGAGAGTAACACAAAAATAACAGATCCTGGTCCGGCAAGAGTCCAGGCGAAAATGTCACATCACGGGAGAGCATATGGCGCCAAAAGGTAGGATCGGCTACACAAATTTGAATGAAGGGTATCACATCTGATCCATCCGTATAGGTGTACGAAGACGGAGAGGAATATCTTCAGGTAAAGAATGCGCCTCCGAAGGGTGGAGGGCCCGATGCAGCAAGGAAGTCAGCAGGTCGGTTACCCTCGCGGAAGATGTGCGAGATCCGAAAGAGAATCAATCGAAGTGTGGCTCTAATACGCATGAAGGGGTGTTGAATCTGCCACGTTCCCTGATGGCCGGATGTCAAGAGAGTGATGACAGCCGTAGCGTCCAACTTTATCCAAATGCAAGAGGAGATCAAGGCGGCAATTTGAAGACCGATCTTAAGTACCTGAACCTCCGCGTTATAGCTCGAGGAGGCCTGAAGAGGGGCATGGAAAGCGGCAATAAGGGCGTCGCTATGATCCCTAATCAGGCCCCCACCTCCTGCGGCTCCAGTAAGTCGGTCAAAGGCTCCGTCAGTGTTTAGCTTAACCCAAGGCGACTCGGGTTTTAACCAAACAACAGCTGGGGCATGGATGCTGGACAAGCGGCAGTGGAGTTGGTGCAAGACGGTGAGGTGGCATGCAGCTTATCTAGTCTCTTTGGGTGAGTCTGCCCAAAGCAGTGATGAGAGACAAATGCCGATCAACATGCAAAATAATATGTGAACACAAAAAGAAATATCTCTATGCTTCGCAATATTTTTTTCTGTCCAGGTGGCCCAAAAGATCAGACAAGAAATAAGGAAGCCCACGTGCCAATCGTGTGTATTGTATCTGAAAAAACTAAAAAACTCAAAGAAATTATCTGTGGAGGGTAAGAATATATGAGTATAACTGGTATAATGCTCTCACACTCTCCTCACAGTCTCGCTCTCAAAAGACAAATGGGTGAAGGTCTCCGTCTGAAAATCGCTGGTTTAAGCACAACAGTAGCAACACGAGGGGAAAAAGAACCCCCTTGCCTGCATCACAGTATCAATCGGTAGGCGACACAAAAGGAGGCGTCATAGGCAAACAGAGATGGTCGGGATAAGTACGTCGTTCCAGATTGCCCTAAAAAGAAGGTTAGGCCGATCACCTAGTCGTACTTCCCCCAAGCCGAGGTCGTAGGAATGCACCCGAAGATGTAAGTCGCCACCTCATACCGTCCAAACTGCCCTCTGAGATGGGAATCTGCTGAATCTCATCTATCACCTGGGCACTAAAGCCCGCTCCAGTACCCAGAATCCTCTATACCCTATCCCTGTCCCTATCCCATCCCCCCTCCATCCACAGGTTCTTCACCTGCAGAAATGGGGGGTGGGTGACCTGTTTAGTGCTCGAAAGAGGACCTCACTAAACCACCTTTCATCCCAAATGTCCCCCTCACTCAGAGTCCAATATATGTGCTTCTAAGCACGTCTACCAACCATGGTGCGCCGCCGCAACTGTCTGCTATCGTGGGCGGTGGTCGCCACCCTACATGGGCGGGCCCAAAGTGACTTACCCTCCCTAAAGCGCCCCCCACATCTTATAAGAGAATGCAGTGACGACATCCGAAAAGCGTCAGATCCCGAGGTCCCCCCTCAGAGAAGGGGCGGCAAACGGAGTCCACTTCACCCGGTGGACCTGTCTCCCTCTCTGGGAGCCTCCCCATGCCCCCAAAAATAACGAACCAGGATCTGATCTAGCTCGTGATCAAGTTCATGTTCTACTTTAACATAACCTATATTACGCATATAGAGACAGGACACCGTTCGAAAATGCATGAA